CTGCTATTCAATCTATAACAGTGAAAAAAGTTTTTTGGTTTTAAATGCAAGCTATTGTGACACCAGTGAGTGAGTGGTGGCACTGGGCACAGTATCCACTGTGAGCCTGACACACCAGCTTTGAGACAACTAACTGCTATTCAATCTATAACAGTGAAAAAAGATTTTTGGTTTTAAATGCAAGCTATTGTGACACCAGTGAGTGAGTGGTGGCACTGGGCACAATATCCACTGTGAGCCTGACACACCCGCTTTGAGACAACTAACTGCTATTCAATCTATAACAGTGAAAAAAGTTTTTTGTTTTTAAATGCAAGCTATTGTGACACCAGTGAGTGAGTGGTGGTACTGGGCACAGTATCCACTGTGAGCCTGACACAGAAGCTGGCAGACAACTAACTGCTATTCAATCTATAACAGTGAAAAAAGTTTTTTGTTTTTAAATGCAAGCTATTATGACACCAGATATGAGTGGCACTGTGAACTGGCAGAGTACACGCTGTAGGGCTGACACACCCGCTTTGAGACAACTAACTGCTATTTAATCTATAACAGTGAAAAAAGTTTTTTGTTTTTAAATGCAAGCTATTGTGACACCAGTGAGTGGTGGCACTGGGCACCTTATCCACTGTTAGCGTAACACACCCGCTTTAAGGACACTGACTGCTATTCAATCTATAACAGTGAAAACGTTTTTTGTTTTTAAATGCAAGCTATTGTGACACCAGTGAGTGAGTGGTGGCACTGGGCACAGTATCCACTGTGAGCCTGACACAGAAGCTGGCAGACAACTAACTGCTATTCAATCTATTATAGTGAAAAAATATATATTTTTTTTAAATGCAAGCTATTGTGACACCAGTGAGTGAGTGGTGGCACTGGGCACAGTATCCACTGTGAGCCTGACACAGATGCTGGCAGACAACTAACTGCTATTCAATCTATAACAGTGAAAAAAGTTTTTTGGTTTTAAATGCAAGCTATTGTGACACCAGTGAGTGAGTGGTGGCACTGGGCACAGTATCCACTGTGAGCCTGACACACCGCTTTGAGACAACTAACTGCTATTCAATCTATAACAGTGAAAAAAGTTTTTGGGTTTTAAATGCAAGCTATTGTGACACCAGTGAGTGAGTGGTGGCACTGGGCACAGTATCCACTGTGAGCCTGACACAGAAGCTGACAGGCAGGCAACTGCAATTACATTACACAGAAAAAAAAAAAAAGACTGATGTTCTAGCCCTAAAAAGGGCTTTTTGGGGTGCTGTCCTTACAGCAGAGATCAGATGAGTCCTTCAGGACTGTAGTGGACACTGTATACCCTAACCTAGCTATGCATTTCCTTATCTAATCAACAGCAGCTACACTTTCCCTCCTCTCACTAAGCATGCAGCTTGAGAATGAATGTAAAATGGATGCCTTCCAGTAGGTGGGAGGGTCTGCTAGGGAGGGTGTGCTGCTAATTGGCTGGAATGTGTCTGCTGACTGTGAGGTACAGGGTCAAAGTTTACTCAATGATGACGTATAGGGGGCGGATCGAACCGCGCATATGTTCGCCCACCGTTGCGAACGCGAGCATGCTATGTTCGCCAGGAACTATTCGCCAGCGAACCGTTCGGTGCATCACTATAGACGACACATAGTCTGGGAGTCAACTGTCAGCTTTATTCACAGGTCTGCTTTTATGCATTTCTCCCATGCAAGGGAGGTAACTTTCACAATTACTACAGTACCCAATCATATCGTGGTCACCTCCCATCCCTCTCCTCCCCTTAGATTAACATTTAAACAGATTAATATTTACAGAGTTTTCCCCACTTCGTGGATGTCCCCTAAATACAGGGGGTACAGGGTTAAATAAGGGGTCCCCTGGTAGTTCTGATCTGGGTGAGCAACATACTCAAAATTCACCCTGATCGGACCAGGGGTTCGGGTGTTACAGCCATTGAAAGATTTGACCGACCGCACGGGCTCAGTAGCCGAAAACATTTCCATGAATTCTGGCCCTGCGGTTGGTCTTTTCTAGTGAATAAAAAGTCCTGAAAGGCTTAGGCATCCAGGCATCTGTTACCGTTCGTATGAATCCCCTTGTTAGTGGGATTCCACCTACTGAACGCCGGGGCGTTCATGTCTTTTCTTCGTGCTTTTTGAGCATGCTGGAGGTCTTAGCGGTACTTGGTTAGTCGAATGCCCAGTTTGAGTTCCAGGCATTCGACGACCAAGTACCGCTGTTCGTGCGTAAGATGGCCGCCGCCATGTGTTCGGTAGGCGAAATGGCGGCCACACACACTTGCACTTAATTCACTTCGCCACATTGTATCTTTGGTTAATAGGAGACACACGACCACCCCGGGGTGGTCTCTCGTTCAGTAGTTTCGGGGCATTCGCATACAGAACAGCATGAATAGCATTATAGTCCGTTCGTGAATTAGTCTCTGCCTTAGCACCCATTCGCTTGTAATAATTCCAATGTTCATTCGCACAGAATAGTTAGTATTTCAGTGGCAGGGTTTACGTTTTTTATTTGTAAAGGTTTTTTTTAAATAGACTAAAACAGACTAAAACAGACTTTAGCGGCAATCCCTAAACTAACGCCTGCAAAGAGAATCTAATGGAGATTTGGAGGTAGGATACTGACTAACTAAAGTTTGACGCATATGAAATAAAAGTCTAAAACACAATAAAACACACTGAAACACTTTTTGACAAGAAAAAAAAATCCTTAAGGGCAAAAAAAAATTACAGACAGTACTAATGCACTGCTGTAATAGGCAGGGAAGGGGTTAAAATTTATTTTTGCTTTTACTTTTTAACAGGTTTTTGACACTTCGAGCAACACTTTGAACACTGCAACAAACTATCCGCTCTGATCTCTGTCTCTCTCGCCTCACAAAACGCTACAGAGGAGAGAGAGGCAGAGATCAGTGTCAAAGTGAGTGCTTGTAACACCCAATTTGACATCAGCCAATTGTGAGCGATCGCGGATTGCTCACACGCCGCAATTGGCTGTTACTATCTGCCTGGGATACCCTGAGGTATCCCACTGGTGACAAGCCCAAGCTTTGAATATACTCAATTGACTACAACCCTCTGTTGCCTGTCACTCAGCCACTGCCTTACCCATTCAACAATATTGGAATCCAAACGTAAAGATTGCAATTTATTGATAAGCCTCAGGGATCCTCAGAGATCTGTACTCGGACCCATTCTCTTTAATATTTTTATTAGTGATATTTCAGAAGGTCTTGATGGTAAGGTATGTGTTTTTGCTGATGATACTAAGATATGTAACAGGGTTGATGTCCCAGGAGGGATAAGCCAAATGGCAAATGATTTAGGTAAGCTAGAAAAATGGTCAGAATTGTGGCAACTGACATTTAATGTGCATAAGTGCAAGATAATGCATCTTGCACGTAAAAACCCAAGGGCAGAGTACAGAATATTTGATAGAGTCCTAACCTCAACATCTGAGGAAAGGGATTTAGGGGTAATTATTTCTGATGACTTAAAGGCAGATGTAACAAAACCCTACCTTATGCCTGGGAATATTTACTGCTACCGGCCCTTTAAGAGCTAGCCGGGCGCATATAAAGACATCAAACTGGATATAATTGAATGTGCTTACCTGTTTCGTGGGGATTATTCTTTAAAACAGTTCAGGACTTTTAAAGCGTTTGCTTCCTTGTGCGACCCAGACGTTATGGACCCAGCATTCAACGTACGAATGCAAACCACCGAACACTGGACCCCCCCTGCTACCTAATTATGTGGTAATTTACCTCCCTGATCGGCACATATGGGAAACGCACGAATGCTTTGTTTCAGTTCCTGGATGGCCGCCATTTCGGGACTTTTACACGTGGCCGCGGCCATCTTAACTCCCGAACAGCGGTGTTTTGCCGTCAAGTGTCTGGAACTAAAATTGGACACTCGAGTAGGCAAACACCGCTGAGACCTACATAGCACCAGAAATCTGTGCCAAAACTACCGAATACCCTTTCGTTCGGTAGAAAGACTAAGTAGCATATGGGGATTCCGGCGAACGTCAAGTTATACACGGATGGCAAGTCTTTCGGGAATTTTAACGCACGAACAAAGACCGACCGCAAGGCCAAAACTCATGGAACTATTTTCAGCTATTTTGCCTGTGCGGTCGGTCAAAACTTTAAAGTCCCACATCTCCCGAACCACTGAACCGAATGAGCTGATTTTTACATATGATGGTCCCCCAGAATAGGGCTATCTACCTACTTATGCATGTACCCCAGGTATTTGGGGTACATCTGAAACTTGGGGAAAAATTTAACTGTGTTAATTGGGTTACAGGCTTATCTGAGGGGAGGAGATGTGTGGGATGTACCCTATGTTTTATTGATTGTTGTGTTAATTATGTGGGGGTCTCCCTTGTATGGGCAGAATCACATAAAAGGAGAGTACCTGCCATTAAAATTCAGTTCTTCTTGACCCTTCAAAACATAGCCTTGTCTCGTTCTTGGAAGGGGATTTACAGCATAACCACTTTGCTCTTTTAATAGCTCTGCCTGACTCTTCACTTGGATCTCATGGATGGGAATAAGCAACTCCACTACTACACAGCTACTTGCCAGGAAAAAGGACGTCTCCAGCGGCTGATACCCTCTCACTACCTGGGTAGCCGTTACAGCAGACAGATAATGTAATAGCAGGAAATGCCAGCAGAATGCTTGGTTGTATTGGGAGAGGTATTAGCAGTAGAAAGAGGTAAGTGCTCATGCCATTGTACAGAACACTGGTGAGACCTCACTTGGAGTATTGTACGCAGTACTGGAGACTAGAGATGTCGCGAACCGTCCGCGAACTTTTCGCGAACAGTTCGCCACGGTTCGCCACGAGCTGTTCGCGGCGAACTCCGGTCAGCTGACACGTCCCAGCCAATCTCCAGCAGACCCTCCCTCCCAGACCCTCCTACTTCCTGGACAGCATCCATGTTTCAACATAAGATGCTGTCCAGGAAGTAGGAGGGTCTGGGAGGGAGGGTCTGCTGGAGATTGGCCGGGACGTGTCAGCTGACCTGAGTTCGCCGCGAACAGCTCGTGGCGAACCGTGGCAAACCGTTCGCGAGAAGTTCGCGGACGGTTCGCGACATCTCTACTGGAGACCTTATCTTCAGAAGGATATTGCTACCTTGAGAGAGTTCAGAGAAGGACTACTAAACTGGTTCATGGATTGCAGGTTACAACTTATCAGGAAAGGTTA